AGAAAGAAGTGAGAAGGAGGAAGGGAGACCCCTCCGCTCCCCCTCCCTGCAATCCCAGGCTCCAGCTCCTTCGGGATTTGATTTCCAAGCGGGGCAGGATGTACGCGTCAGGGCCTGGGCACAGCCCTAATGACCAGGTCCTGAGGCAGACGGCGTTTTGTCGTCTGTCTGTGTGCCCCCGCAGCAGCCCGAGGAGGTCTAGGGGACAGAGGCAGCGATGCCCACTGAGGGGTGTGGACACTGAGGCCCGGTGAATGCTAAGTGCCAAAGTCACAGAGCGCAGCCCTGACTGAGTGGGACCTGGAGCTCCTGCGTGCACCCCCACCCCTGCGAGCTGAGCTGAGTCTTTGGGTTATAAATGGTTCCCGTGCTTGCAATCTGCTCCTCTCTATTCCCGGGTGCACTTTCCCCAGCTCCGGCCTTCTGCTGCACTAGATAAGATAGAGCAGGAGAGAGGAAGCAGCGCGGCTTACGTAACCGGCCTCCTGGAAAATGGAGCAGCAGTTGGAGTGGAAGAAGGCGTGTGTCCCTGTCCTCTGTGTCTGAGAACTGCAGCTTGAGCTGGGACGCAGGCCCATTGCTCTCCATCTTTGAGAAAGAGACACAGCTGGGCATGAGCCATGTTGGAGATAGAATCTTCCCGGCAGAGTGGCTCAGCCTCAGTTTCCCTGTAAGTGAAATGGGGGCAAGAAAGCCAGGGAAGAGATGGGATAACACATCCCAAGCACCTGGCACCGAGCGAGCCCCCAGAACCGTGTATGCCGCCTCCTTGTGGCTGCCTGGCCTGACCCCACATGACCCTGCAGGCCGGGAAAGTGATCCTTGTCTGCACTACGAATTTATAAGAAACCGAGCCTGGGAGCTATTTAGAGGCAGGCGATAAACCAGGAGCCCGGCCCTTCCTCCTGCTCCTCACCGGAGGAGAGGAGCGCGGCTTCCAGACGCTGACTCAAAGGGTCTCAGTTTCACTTGGGGCTATCAGCGTGTACCGGTCTCACCTGTCAATAGCTTCTAAATTTGTCCAATCCCCACAGCACCCCGGCCGGGGCAGACCTAATTAGGCTAATTTTGGTTTCCTAGGAGAAAGGACAAATTCAGCCCATCCCAGTCCATTCCCTCCCTCCCCCCAGCTTCTCCATCTCCTTCTGATTGGACAAGGAAGAGATGGTGAGCGGGCCCCAGGGCACCTCGGGAAGGCTTCTGATTGCAAAAGTAGTGTCTCAGTATGCACGTCTTGCAAGAGAAGAATATTCTGGATCCCTCCAGAGGAACACTCCCAGACAGGCCTAGACAGCAACAATGGATTTAAATGCCCCATGTGTCATGCCCCGTGCTAGGCACTTCTCACCCATCTTCCCACATGCCCACATCATACCATCACTCTGGGTATGAGGAGATGTGCTCAGGAGTCCCATTTTACAGATGAGGAAACTGAGGGTCCGAGATGAGCTTCAGCACAGATGGGCATGGTGGAGATGGACTCCAACTCAGATCGATAGCTTGTGAGAGAAACTTGTACCTAGTCTGTGGGTTATCCATGTCCTGTGTTTAGTTCTGTGTCCTTACCTGCAGAATTGTTATGGTTATTATTTCAAAGACCCAACTCGAGTCAGTCATACTGAGATCCAAGGAGATAAAATGAACATTTATAAGCCATGTGCCAGGATCCATTTGCATTTTCTCATCTGCTCTCCCATAGCTGTGCAAGCAGGCTTCATTTACACTTTACAGATGAGAACCCCCTTTACAGATGAGAATGCTGAGGCCCAGAGAGGCACATGAGTGACCACGGCCACCTAGTCAGGTAGTGATGGGATAAGACTGAGACCTGCTCTGGGCTTGCTAGCAGGAGGTAGGAAGGTGGCAGGTGGAGACAGGAAATGGTGGGGAGCGGTAGAGACAAACAATAGCCCCAGGAGCAGCAGCAAGGCTAAGAAAAATACAGAGTCATCCTTTCCATTCCACAAAGGGGCTGGGTGTGTTTCGGATTTGGTTTCAAGGTGACTTGAGGGATAGAAGTGTGTGGATTACAGCAGCTACCAGGAGCTGAGTGCCTGCTGAATGTCAGGTCTGTGATCAAGAGATTTAGTGCAGGCCCGCTGCGCAGCCCCAGGAAGTAGGTCTTATCATGAGCTGCAGTGACGAGGGACCAGCAGACACAATGAGTATCTAGTCAAATTTCGGCAGTCAAAGGTCACAGAAGCGAGAAATGGGAGTTGCCCCCCACCACAACTGGGTTCCACCAAACCTATGTAGGAGCTGGTGGGGCATTCTTGGGAACAGACACCTCACAGAGGAGAAAAACAAGACCTAGAAGGGTGAGGTGACTTGTCCAGGAGGGCTGGCAGGTGGCAGAACCCAGAACAGAACCCACCCGGGGTCTGTGCCAAGTCTGCCGACCTAGACTTTACCCTAGACTTTGCCGATCTTTGTTTGGTCATTTGTTTTTCTTGAAGGTGAGACCTGTGCATTTTAGAGGAGACCTTTTGCTAGGGCAGCTGTTAGTTAATTGGCAGGTTCCTAAGAGTTTTGCCCTGAGGCTGACAGGAAAGGGATGAAGAGTGGCCCCTGCCCTCAGTTTCTCTACAAAGGCCCCGGGCAAGGTTCTGAGGGAATAAAATTAGAATCCTGTGCCCCCGCAAGGGCCAGACCATGCGTGACTATTGTGACCTCCCAGCTGCTTCAAAGCAGATCCGAGGGTGAGCAGAGGGACTGATTCAGGGACCCGAAAGGGCCCCCCAAGCCCCACATACCTCCCACAGTCAGGCTCCAGAATGCCTGGCTTGCTACTGTTCAGAGTCCTTGTCATTGTCCCTCGGTCTTCCTCACGCCAGCTGCACCAGGTCCCGCCCAGTGTGGCCCAGAGGGACTTTCTCCTGAGGCGCAGTCTGAGAGTCCCGATTCCAAGGAGAATCACACAGCTCAGCAACCCGGGACAAGCGAGGGCAGCTCTGGCCAGTTTGCCAGAGTAAGTGGCAGGGTGGACAGGGCTCTCACTGCACAGGAGCTGGGCTGCAACCACTGCCAGGAGCAGCCTCTCTGGGCTCAAGGAGAGCTGTCCCCTCTTCCCCATCTACCAAATGGGAATCATCCCGCTTACCTCCCGGAACTGTCTGAGGGTTGCACGCAGTAAGTCAGCGCTTGCTGAAGCCTAAGGACTCAAGGGCCATCGCCCTCCCTCCCAGGGGGCCCAGACAGTCTGCCTGTTGGGGAGAGGGATGAGCAGACAGAAGGGTTCCCTGGCCCCCCTAGAGTTTGCATTCTAGTGGGAGGGGGAGACTGACAAAAATAAGTAAGTACATAAATGAGATCATTTCAGAGTGTGCTAAGTACCATGAAGCAAATAAAAAAGGGCTAATGTGACAGAGCCGTGGCAGTGGCGATATTTGAGCTGGGACATGTGTCACTCTATACCCAGGTCAAAGTAGGTCAGAAAACTCTGGGGTAAGGAAGGATGCCCACGAGTACATGTAGCTTGAATTGCATCTGCGGTTATAACAATGGCCAAATGACTTCACTCTTAGGGCCTCAGTTTCCCCATCTGTAAAATGCAGTCAAATGTGTGTTTCCCTTGGGCTAGCTGTGGGAATTCAAAATGATAGTTACACAAAACATTGCCCCTGTAGACCGTCAATAAGCGCTAGTTACTAACTTCGGAGATGAACAGTATCAATGAGGGTTCTAAGGATAAAAGACGTCTCACAGAGCCACAGATCCTTCCGGGTCCTGTAAGCTCCCAGGGCCCCAGGGCTGAGAAGACAAGTCCTCTGATGCCTGGCTTACGGGGGATCCTCTGAGACTCCCTGGTGTTTTGTTATTTTGGGGTTCCCTCCCAGCCACGGGGTTACCACCCAGCCCAAGAGCCTTGGGGTTGGAACATTCCCAGGGGGTGGACCCTTGCTGGCCCCCAGCTTGAGTTCCTAGACCTCCACATCCAGGTCATCCATCTTTCCTGTCCCAGAGCAGCCTAGGGACAGGGGGTGCTGGTGTCTATACCCCATACCAAACCCCAGAAAGGCCAGGGCCCCTGGGGCTGTCCCTTCACCTGCTGGGCCTACAGCCAAGCTGTTTCCGTGATGTAGCTGCTGTCACTTGTTTTCTGGTTTTTGACTTTTAAATTTGAAACAATTTTAGACTACACAAGAATTGTGGCGGTAGTGGGGGATCCCCTAGCCCCTTCCCCTGATTCCCCTGATACCATTTTATGTAACCACGAGAAAAGGTATGGAATTAGATCGGTAAGTTTTACTTATATGTTCCAGATGAGGGGGTCCCGGGTACTTTTTATGGTCTTTTTGATGCCATTTCACACCTAGTTTCTCATCTGTCGCTCACCAGGAGTTCTTGCGGCCCAATTCCTCACTCCGCTGGTGGGCGAAGGAACAGATCTCAGAGAAATGCATTTTCCAGCAAATAAGGCCTACCGAGGCTTGGAACCCCGGTCTGCATCCCCACCTTAAGCCCTCCCCACCTCCTAACACTGTTTTCTAGAGGCAGTGGGGATTCACCTAAGATTGCATGCCCCGGCAGGCGCAGGATACGGCATCTCAGAGACAGAGTGGTGCCTAGTGGCGAACTGCTTGTCTTACCATCTCCTGGAGTGAAAAAACAGCAGAGAAGTGCAGAAAAATTGCTGATCCCAAGCCTCAGTTTCCCCCTCCAGAACAGACCTAAAGAGAAATGATGCGATGATCGTTGAGTTGAATGTGCATAAAGTGTTTGGAATAGTGCCTGGCGGGGGTCCTTAGCGACCCAGGCCGCGGTCATCACCAGTTCTTTCTTTATGGTAATGAGCATTGATAACAAACTCGTGTGTGACAGCATCATGATCAGGTAAACCCCATCCACTCAGTCATTCCTGTATCGTTCACTTGGTCCCACTTCGCTCCAGATGGGCTGATGCAAGAGGGAAGCATGGTGCTGTGCCCTGCCCTGCAGCCTGGACAGTGTCCCTTCGCTGTCCCTCTGTGACCATTCACCTTTGTCCTTGTCTTCTGCAGAATTCTCCGTTCTGGTGGCTGAAAGCTAAGCGGCGCTGATGGCCCCACACGCCCCCACCTCTCTGCCCCGGAAGCCCCGTCTCAACCCCTCTCGCCGCCCTCCCGTGTTTCTGTTCAGTTTGTTTATGTTATTTTTTACTCCCCCTGTCCCCTGCGGCCCTCAAGTGACACTATTCTTCTGGAAAATGCTGGAGAAACAATAAAGGCTGTACCAACTGGGTTCTGCCTGTGCAGGGGTGGGGGTGGGGCAGGCCCGGGGACGTGGCTTTCCAGACACCCCGGCAGGTGGTGGGAGCTGAATTTAAACGGAACAGCTGTGACAGAAAGGGGGTTTCCTCAGCACCTCCTTGACAGCTGTCACATGAGGCATTCCCCATGGCTTGCTCCTTTTTGTCCTTAGAGGTGAAGGAACTCCTATTTCACAGATGGTGTCCAGGGCCTCACAGCTTGGTGGCATTTGAATGCAAGTCTATGGGCGGATGCCCATTAAGAGTCCTTTTGTTACAGATGACAGAAACCCAGGTCAAAGTAACCTGAGCCAAAGGGGAAGGATTAAAAGGCTGGGTTGGCTTATGTGCTCAAATAGTTGGCTTCAGGAATAGCTGGATGAGGGCACTCAAGCCATACCAACCAAGCGATGTCCCAGAGGCACAAGGTGTATCAGCAGCAAGCTCAGCACGAGAGAGCTGCTCTTTACCGTCTGTCCGGAGGCCCAGACTCCATTCCATTAACAGCAGCAGCCAATGTTTATTGAGCGCTTGCTCTATGCTGAGCCCTTTACAGGGTTCCATCAATACAACCGTCCGGTGTAGTATGGGTCATAGTCCGCCTTGTGTAGATGAGAAATCTGAGGCACAGAGAATTTAAATGTTTGCCCAAGGTCACACAGCATGCAAGGGGAGGAGGAACAGAACTGAAAACGGAGGAGTTGCCTGCAGGGCCTGTGTCCCTCCCTGAATCAGTCACAGTGGCCAGGAGGAGGGATCACGCCCACCTACAGAAATGAGGAGGGCAGCTGTGGAAATGAGACCTGGGGCCAGAGCTGGGGGGCAAACATGGGGCCCGTGCAGGGCGGCCTTGGGAGTGTGTGAGGCAGAGATCCCTGGGTGGGTGCAGGCACCCCACGTTTCTCCCTCAGCCACACTTGGGCTCACTCCAGCCCCTTCCCCTGTGCTCGGCGAGACGGGTGCGCAGACCACCTTCCCACTGGCAGCCAGGCAGAGCAAGCAGTCCCAGGCTCCGGCGGGGCGGGGGGCAACCAGGCAGCTGCCTATTGGAAGTGGGCGTGGCTTCACACTGGGAATGGGCGTGGCCTGGAAGTGTGCAAAAGCATGCAGGCAGGTGTGAGGCCTGTGTGAGCCCACGTGCTTCAGGCACCTGTCAGGACCCGTTTACACTCAGGTTTTCATGAGAGTCTAGGGTGGGGGACAACTTTGGACACCATTACACCACAGTCAGGAGAGGAGGAGGAAGAGGGCGGCCTGCTGGGGGAGGTGCCCTCTGGGCGCTGGAAGAGCCCTGGGCTCCTTCCCCTCCTGAAACCCGGGAACCAAAGCCATGCAGGACCCCAGCAGGGCCTAACGGGACCGCGGGGACAGCGGGCCTCACCAGTAGGCCTGCAGCAGCTTGTGCGCCTCCCATCTCACCCAACACAGAAAGGTTCTGGGCAGCAAGGGCCTCTGAGATCTCCAGGGACCCAGGACTTTGGCTTCAGGGCAGCACGGAGAGGCCACAGCTTCTCCTGCAAGGCTGGTGTCCCTTTGTCACCTGTGCCTCTGTTCGCTGGCCCAGGACACAGCAAGAGCTACTGGGGGAATGGGAGTTCTGTTCAACCCTTCATCTCAATTCCTTCTCTTACAAGAGTTGGACAACAGACGTTTAAATATATAAAGAACTTTAAAAAAACTAGACTCCCCTCCAAAATAAAAGACCCAGTCAAAAATGTGCAACTGAAGTGAATAGACACGTCTCAGAAAAGGTATAAATGGCTAATAAATACAGGAAAAAGGCTCCACATCACTGGTTGTCAGAGAAATGCAAATTAAGACAACACTGAGACCCATCTTACTCCAAAAAGAATGGCCATTACCAAGAAAACCAATAATAACAAATGCTGGAGAGGACATGGGGGAAAAGGAACACTTCTACCTTGTTGGTGAGAGTGTAAACTAGCACAACCACTGTGGAAACTAGTGTGGAGAGTCCTCAAAAAACCAAAACTAGAAATTCCTTTTATCCAGCTATTCCCCTCCTAGCTATTTTTCCTGAAAGAGTTAAAAATATCCTATTGCAATGATATACACACACCCATGTTTATAGCAGCACATTTCATAACAGCTAGCTCTTGGAGATGGTCTCTCTCCCCACCAAGAGATGAATGGTTAAAGAAAATGTGGTATAGACAACGGAGTCCTACTCAGCCACAAAGAAAGATAAACTTGAGGCATTCATATTCAAATGGATAAAACGAGGTCATAATATTAAGTGAAATAAGTCAGACACTCAAACTTAAATATCCTGTTTTAGATAGGCAGACAGACAGACAGCAAAAGAGAAGATAGATAAAGAGGAAGTAAACAGATCTTTTTCAAACTGATAGGGAACAAGAGAAGGGAAGGGAAAGGGGATAACAAAAAGAATTGAAGGAGAAAAATGATGAAAATAGGGATTTTGCACACTGGGATGTAGGAGCAGATTAGAGGAACGTACAAAACTCAGGCCAGGGTTAAATATGGGGCTAGGCCCTTTATGAAGTAGAGGAGACACAGCCTCTGCGTCACAGCAAACACTGTGTGTCTGTACAGCATCAATACTAGCAAAATGCAGGTGACCCTACAGATAAAACCCGCGCAGCTACCATTCTCCTCCTATGGCAGCCACCTGGATCACCCCACCTGGACCAGCACCACCTGCACTTCGCGTCACCCCGAGCCAGCAAGAGGCAGGCAGGGCAACCTCGCCCTGTCCTCCATCCCATGGAAGTAGGATGATCCAGTGAGATGGGGGAATGTAGGGGAAGATTAGCCGGACGTTAAAACAAGCCCAGGGTATAAAACACAGTTGATTAACATTGTAAAATCATTGCAGCTTACCTGTGGCTGATGATTAGAGGATCATCACATGCTTATCGTGTACCATGGGCTTGAAAAAAAGTACCCTACTGTGTGCTTTATGAAAGTGTTACATTTGCTTCATGCTGACCTGGTCCCCTTCCCAGAAACAAAGATGAAGACCCTGACTGACCCAGCCCAAAGCAGTCAACAAAACATCTCCCCCTCGCCGGGCATCCCCAGCACATGCCTCCATCCTGCAGCTCGCTCTGCTGTTCAGGTAGCTCTTCCGCTTCTAATGCATTTGTTACACTTCAAATAAACTTTCACTCTGCACTGTATTGGCCTTGACTCCCCCATTTCCAGCTAAGAGCCCCACTTCTCCATTCTCCGCCAGAGGGAGGGCAAGGGCCTATGGAGAGGTGGAGGGTCATTTGGGGGGACTCCTAGCTCCCCCCAAGAGACCCCCTCCCCCAAGCTGGACACAACAGGAAGCAGGGACCACGAGCTGGAAGGAGCAGGGAGGGAGGGGAAGAGCGACAGCTTAAAAACAAAAGAGAAGCAAGGTAAAGATGTGCTACGTCCGCCTATGGGCTCCCCATGGTATTTGCGATCATTATGTACTGCAAACACGGGCTAATTAACAAAAGGAGTTTGGTGACAGGCACAGCTCGCTTTGCAGGCAGGAAAACCAAGACTCTTGGGGATACGTGGCCAGCGAGGCAGAGCTGGAGTGCAATGTGCGCTTCTTGACAGGGAGCCCAGAGGCTTCGCCCCATCCTGTCGCCTCGCTGGGTGACAGCGAGCGGAGCTCAGCAGTGTGGCTGGGGAGGTGCTGTGACAAGTGAGCACCACGTGGACCCCCGTCCTTCCCCGCGCCCCTCCTCCGACCTCCTACCCAGGTGCGTGGCCTGGCTCCTCCCGGAAGTCGCTGAGAGATGCTCGTGTCAGCCACTCCGGAAGTCCCTGAACCACCACTGTGGGCTCCCAGCCTGTCGCCTGGCCTTCCCGCTCCTTCCCCAACTTTCCAAAACGTGCATCAGGTCACTGTGCTCTTGGAGTGCAGCCTTCCTGGCTGCAGGAACAGCCAGTCTCCCACCCGCCCGGCTTCACCTTGGCCCTTTGCCCTCTGTGGGTTGCATTCTACTCTGCTCTACGGGGTTTCGTGTGAGGTCCCACGGCCTGGCACAAATGTTTGTATGCCAGGAGGCCCTGCGTCTCCAACGATTCATTTGAGGCCACAGAGTACAGCAGGGCTTCTCCCACCCTTGCCAGGGTGCCATCTTGGTCTGCTAACTCAGTAGGAATGAGGCACTCAGGCGGTGGCCCTCCCTGCCCTGAGACTCCTCCAGCATCCCCCAGCCTCCCAACCAGCCACCCGGGAAACCTTCCTTGCCACCCTCTGCACCCCCTCTGGTCCTCCCTCCCCTTCCCTGCTGGACTAGAGAAGTCTCAAAGGCTTTACCACTGCTGCCTGAGCCAGGCTGGGAGCAGGCAGGAGGGAGCTGGAGCTGGGAGGAAGAGCAGCAAATCCAACCCAGTGGCCGAGTGGTGAATGACAACTGGGCGAGCTGATGTCCCTGAGCCAGGCAAGGCTTCAGGGAGGTGGGGGCAGGAGGGTCTGGGCATCAGAGCGAAGGAGCAGAGTCTCTGACCAAGAAGACCCAGGAACAGTTCAGGCTGGGACTTTTCCTTCTAGCCCCAGGCTTGGAGAATTTGAGTGTGCTGGGGCTGGATGGAGCTGGCTTCCAAATCTGCCTCTTCTTCTTCTGAGCACCTCCTCTGTGCAGGTGCTTGGTACTAACGCTGTTGTGGTCTGAATGCTTGTGTTCTCCAAAATTCATACATTGAAATCTGCAGAGTATGAAGGGGTAGGACCTTGGGGGGTGATTAGATCGTAAGTGTTCCACCCTCACAAGTGGGGTGTGTATCCTTACAAGAGAAGCACAGGGAGGTTGTGCTATGGTTTGTGTCTGGATGTCCCCCCAAAGCCTCATTCAGCCAAGGGGAGTGGACTTTTCAGAAGCGGCTGACTCTAGAGTCTGTGACTGGCTCATTGTCTAGTGCTGAGATTGGGGGTGTGAGTGCTACACCCGCCCTAGGGCAGATAGCCTGCATACAATATAAGGGAGGGAAACAGGCTGGTCCCCCAACACCCTTTTGCTCTGGTTGCTTTGCTGCCTTTCTCGGCCATGAATGGTTGCCCCTCTGCCATACCACCCTGCCTTGGAGCCTGCTGATTATGGACTGAAACCTCTATAAACTGTAAGCTAAATAAACTTTTCCTCCTTTAACTTTGGATGTCAGGTATCTTGTTTCAGCAACAAGAGAAAAGTAACTAAGACAGGTTGCTTGTCCCGTTTCACTATGTAAGGACGCAGCAACGGAATAGGAAGCTGCTCTCATAGATACAAGAGCTGAGGACATCTTGACCTTGGATTTCACAGCCTCCAGAACTGTAAGCAATAAATTTAGGTTGTTTATAAAAGTCTGCTGCTGTAAATAAATCTCTGCTCTGCTCTTTATTACCCAGGCTAAAGCATTTTGTGGTTGTAGCTGGAACACACTAAGACATGGTCTTTTATTCCACTCCATTTCTTTTCGTCTTGCCAGGATGCCATCAGGGTCTGCTAACTCAGTAGGAATGAAGCACTCAGGCGGTGGCCCTCCCTGCCCTGAGACTCCTCCAGCACCCCCCAGCCTCCCAACCAGCCACCGGGGAAACCTTCCTTGCCCCCCTCTGCACCCCCTCTGGTCCTCCCTCCCCTTCCCTGCGGGGCTAGAGGAGTTTCAAAGGCTCTACCACTGCTGCCTGAGCCAGGCTGGGAGCAGGCAGGAGGGAGCTGGGGCTGGGAGGAAGAGCCGCAAATCCAACCCAGTGGCAACAAAAGACACTCCACGTCTTTTCTTCTTCTCCATTCAAGAAAAAGACAGTCTCCTTTACACAGAGGAAAAAAAGTAGGATTCAGTGACTTGCTCAAAACCATACTAAAAAGAAAAGCAAGAAATCTAACCAGGTGTGGTGGTGCAAGCCTGTAATTCCAGCACTCAAGAGGCTGAGGCAGAAGGATTTCCTGAAAGTTTGAGGCCAGCCTGGGCCACATAGCAAGGCCCTATCTCAAAAACCAACAAACAAGAAACCATTTATTCATATATGCAAGTGTCAATCAAGAAGAGCACAAAGCAAAACAAAAAACTGAAGTAAAATCAGTTTTATTTGGGAAAAGGTTTGCAATGTGAGAATCAGACAACTGTGGTGGGGATGCAGGTGCCTTAGGAAACTGGGGTGCATCCAAAACGGTGGGGACCGGGGAAAGGTCTTAAAGGCAGAACCAAGGGGAATTACATCAGATATTTTGAAACATAAACCTTTGGCCACAATGACTAATAGCTAGGTGACATCAGTCTGAGGTTGACCAGACAGCTGCTGAGCAGAGGTCCGCGTGGATGTGCATCTCATGGGAGGCCTGCACGGAGGCCACTATGGCATCTGCAGTGACTGTTACTTCCAGGCAATTGAGGGGAAGAACGCTTCCCTCTTACCCTTCCACCTTTGTTGTCGAAGGTTGACACAAGCAATGCCATTTTGATGGTGACAGCTTTCACATGACAAGTAGTTCCCGAGTGCCTTCTGTGCCTGACCCAGCCGAGCACCTTGGGGTCTTAGGTGCTTGCGTCACTCAGGTGACACCAGGGGCTTCCCGAGGTGAGCTCCCCGCTCCCAACCCTGATCCACTGAGACAGCAGGCCAGGAAGAGTCAACCAGGTGCAGCTAGTATCCAGGTGTAGCGAGAAACCTGGAGGCCCCTCCAGGTGTGGTACAGAACCTGGTGCTCTCTGCCCATGCATGTCCGGCATTGGTCCAGCTAGGTGTGACCTAGGCAGCCTGGACCCTGAGCTCCAGGGATGCTGCTCCCAGGAGGACGGAGGAGGTCTGTATGTGCCTGAAACATCTGAGGGTTGGGCGCTGGACTTGTGGCTCAAGGTCAGCGGCTTCAGCTGTGTTGTTCAGGCAGGAGGATCCTTATGACCCCTGGCACACAGGGGCGGAAACGGAGACCCCGGAACACAGCTGCTGGGCCCCAGTCATTGCCCAGTGAGACGTGAACGGAAACCAGAATGAGAACTGAACCTGAAAGCAGTTTGGAGCTGGAGCTGGAGCCCACGGTTTCCTCCCTCAACTTCTCCTGTACCATCCACAGCATCCCGGGAAGCATTCCTGGCCCCACCAATGCTGCTGTCATTCCGTGGCCTCTACTGCTTTGGGCTTGGACCACCTTTCCTTCCCTGCCTGGCTCATCACTGCACCGGCCTCAGGCTAAATGAGGGGTCCGTTTTCATTCCGACCCGACGCCCACATTTAGCGGCCCATCTTTACCCACGAGAACTTTTTGTTGAGCACCTACCTAGTGTCCGGCACAGTGGGATTGACGATAAACAAACACGATGGGCTGCTCTTCTGAAGCTCCCTTTGGGGGGTGGGGGTGCTGCTTGGTGTTCTGTGCTTCTTTCAGTCCCCACCCACTGCTAGCTCACTGCTCCTCCAGCCTTCCGTCTTCTCCAAGGCTTGAAAGTTTGTGCAAGTCACCTCTCTGGTGAGGGCGTCATCTGCTGAATAGATGAAGAATGTCTACCACTCAACTAAAAAAAGGCAAACAATCTGAATTAGTCAGGACTCTCCAGAAAAACAGAACCAATGGGTGTACAGACGGAGAGAGAGAGAGAGAGCCTGACTTACAACGGTTCAACTCATGGTATCTTGACTACATGATGCTTTGAATATTGAATTTTGATCCTTCCCTGGGCTAGGGTTGGTCAGGAGGACAGGCTATCCCATGAGGTCAGGAGGGCAGGCTATCCCGTGAGGTCAGGAGGGCAGGCTATCCCACGAGGCAGTAAGCACCCTGTCATGAGAGGTGCACACATGGTACAGGAGGAACTTGTGAAAAGAACTCATGCATCAGCAGGAGAGTCCACACAGGGCATCACTCCCAATCTCAAAATGCTCAGACTTATGGTTTAGATCAAGACTATTTCCCAAAGGCCTCACACATTCATAGGCAGAGTTTTTGGAAGGTGACTGAATCATGCGGGTGATGCAGCTGACTTGTTAGCAGGTAAGGTCTGGTCGGAAGAGGCGGGTCCCCTGGGGCGTGGCCTGGAAGAACATATCTCCCTCCCAGGCTTGTCCCTTAGCTTTCTGCTTCCTGGCCGCCGTGATGTGAGCAGCTATCCTCCGCCAGTCCCTCCCATCCCGTTCTTCCTGCCTTGGAGCCAGCGGACAACGGGTGGAAAACATGAACCAAAGTGAGGTTCTTTTATTGAAGCTGTGTGCGTCTGGTAATGGGTCTTAGTGATGAGAATGTGACTAAGACACAGGCACTAAAAACCCCTTCACCTCCTGCAGCCTGTTGGTTTGGTCCATCAGTCACCGGATCCTTACCAAGCAGAAGTGTCTTGTGGATACATCCCAAAGAGGGTGCCCTAATCTAAAGAGGCAGAGAAGTTTCCAGATGGTTCTTGTTATTCTCTCCTTCCTGACTTGACCCAGCGTTCAGAACAGCAGCAAGGGACAGCACTGATGTGACGTCACCGTGGGCAGAGCGGAGGAGTTGTGTGTCCTCCTGGGGTGGCTCTGCCTGGCAGCAGTCCCCATCGCCCAGCTCCGGGGCTGCCTCCCACGGTAGCCTCACAGCGAGCTGCTGCTCCTGAAGGTGCCCTCTGGACTCACTCGCATGAAGGGTCCCCTCAGGTCCAGGCTCTGGTGGCCTGAAAGGAGGCTTCGCGAAGGGATGAAGTTGAGAAAAATTACGAGACACCCACGCATGTGTGTCCTTCCAAATCATCACTGTGGGTCTCCTAGAATAGTGGAAGGAAATGGGCATCTCTGACATGCGTGTCAGTGTTCTTAGAGGTGACTATGTTACAGGTGACTGTTGCTTGTAGCTGCTACTCATCCCAGTCCTCCCTTTCTAGTAGAACCCCTGGGGCACAGGGCAGCAGCAGCAGACCCTGAAAAACATACTCTCCCAGCCAAGGGACACAAACACCTCTGTGGATGGGGTTTGCAAGGAAGCTTCTGGAAAAGTGAACTCTTTGAAGCTTTGGCTTGGACTTCCTCCTCCACCGTGCCTAGCAGGTAGTCACCCCCATGCCAGACATGGAGCTGCCTTCTTATGCACACAGGATTGAGACCCAGCCAAGCTATGAGAAGGAACGGTGGCTCCTGTCTCCTGGCAGCCTTCGTTCTGCCCTGGAAGCTTCTGGCTTTGAGAACACACATGCAACTGGAGAAAAACCGGCCCCTATTCAGTAAGTGGCTGTGCTTAGTCCAAAAAACAGACATTCTGCTCAGTGCAACAACAAACAAAGAAAATTTATAAAATGTAGAGCAATAGGTTTTTTCCTGAACCGCCCCCCAAAGATATGTTGGAACCTCAGGTTGTGAACTTACCTGGAATAATAAGGATCTTTGCAACTATAATTCAGGTAAGGATCTTGAGGTGAGTCACTCTTGAATTAGGATGGGCCCTGAATCCAATGACAGGTATCCCCATAAGAGGCAGAAAAGAAGACAAGGGAAGATGGAAGGAGATAAAGGCAGAGATTGGAAGGATGGGGCCACAAGCTGAGGAATGCAGGAACCGACCCCAGAGCCTTTAAAGGGATGGAGGCTCCTTTGTCATCTGGATTTATTTCATATTTATGGCCTCCAGAACTTAGAAAATAAATTTCTGTCATTTGTCATTTGTTACAGCAGTCCTAGGAAACGAATACTTGTGGGAAAAAGTGTCCTCAGAGGATAACCAGAGGAGTTCTCTGGTTAAAGAACCAGACAGACAGGTACCAAATTAGAATAGTGACAACCACCGTCGCTGAGCACGGCTTTGCTGCATTCCGTCCCCTCACCCTCTCAGCAGGTCTGGAGAGTGAGGAGGAGAAGTTGGTGGCAGGTGCTTGGTCCCAGTGGCACCGGGCCAGAAGAAAGGGCCCGGGAGGATTGTCCTCCGGTATGGGACGGTGAGTGGGACCAGAACATGACAGCTGGGTTGACTGAGTTTTGCACTGGAGAGCAGGAGGCGTTTGAAGGGCGCCCCCTGCTGGCCTCTTTCCCTTCCTGCCACTTGTGCTGCGCTGTAGGAATCGCAGGGAAACCTTTGGACTCCGGTCCTTGCAAAGGGCTGGGCGCTGGGAGACACTGCACCAACACAGCGTTGGCCTGCGGCTTCTCCCTGGTTGCTCTGACACCAGAGCCCAAGCTAAGCGGTTCTGCTCCACGGGGTCACAATAGCCCAGACGTGCATCCAGGCACAGGGACATAAAGGAGATCGCAACGACCTCTCTGCAGCCTCCTACCCCGTGCGGCCGCTTCAGGTCGTGCTGGGAGACGCAGATCGTTCTAGCTCCTTCTGCATTCACCACCGCACCTGTGGTGCCGACCTGGACTCGTGCCAGTGAGGAACCGGTTCGCCTTGCGACTGCTCTGGCTCCTCCAGGTCTCAGGCCACTTGTCACCCTCTCCCATAACGCTCACATCTGCTAACTCTCAAGAATCGAGCGGAGGGCAATCATCTCCGCAGAGCGCTCCAGAGACCATCCTGCGATGGCTGAGAAACTCGCCCAGCCGGCCAGCGCCAGATGAGAAATTGCTTCGCCTCAGCGGTTCTGCAAAATTCAGTGCTTTTTGCTGGAGCCGAGGGTCAGTTTTTGGAAAGTTTCTTGCATGATCATCACAAATCGCCACCTGGTCTGAATTGCCTGGGAGATCATTGAGGGGGGATCTGGGATCAGGCCCTGCTCTTGTTTAGGAAAGATCCTTCTAGAATGTGAATACTACAGAGAAATCGGTGCCCGATTCTTCTGCATGATAAATGGTTTCATTCGGCACTTTGTTTCTATTTAAAGGAGATTGCTTTCATTTTTTTTTTTAAATTTCCTGCAAGGAAAGCTACTTGTCCTCAGTAGAGAAGAAGAGTCCATTTACATTATCCATTCATCTAGTCGTTTATTCATTCACCCGACAAATGTGTGGCCTAGAGTTGGAGAAACAGGTGACAGTTGCTCAGTGTTCACTGTCCACATAGCTCCCTGAGGTTGGTCCTGTTAGAGCCCCATTTCACAGATAAGAAAAGAGAGGCTCTCCAAGGTTTCTTACCTCTCTCTGGGTCACCCAGCCAGTAACCAGGGGCCATGCTTGGAAAGGGAAGATTGGAACTCTAATCCCGGTCTTGCTTGTTTTTTTTTTTTTTTTTTTCTCCGGTACCAGGGACCGAACTCACGACCTTGCGCTTGCCAGGCAGGCGCTTTGCCACTGAGCTAAATCCCCAGCCCCCGGTCTTGCTTGTTACTAGTTGTGTGGCATCAGAACACCATTTAACTCACTTCCCTGTGCCTCAGTTTCCTCCTCTGGAAAAATGGGCACGCCTGCAGTAGGAGCCGGAGGGATGAGAGTTACCAGAGAGCCAAAGTGCCGGTGACTTTGGGGTACTGTGTCCCACAATTTGGCATCTGCTCTGCATGTCCCCAAACTACTATCCTACAACAGCTCATATTTGTGAAATTTAACAAAATCTTTCCCTGCAAGCCAGATGGGGTTCCCAGAGGTGACCCAGAAACCTGAATTTTATTTCATTCAGACTCCAAACCCAGATCTGTGTAGCCAAATGGCATTGTCAAAGCCATCACGCCTGGGCTAGGCTATGGAGGCTCCGGGAGAGGCCCCCAGGCACCCCCCACTGTACAGGAAAGGCCCTACCTCCTCCCCCAGGCGCTGGCAGGCATTTCACAGCGTGTCTGAAGGCCCCAAATCCCAACTCAGGGACGCCCTGCTTGAGCGCCGTGAACACGCTCCCCTATGCAGGGGAGGGGACGGGGCAAATGACCTCTGAGTGGGGCTGGTCACGGTAACAGGGACGGCCCAGACCTTGCCCAGCACCTCACAGGCGGCAATACGCACCTTAGCCAATTTTAGGGCGTCCGCCTGCACTCACCCAGTAACTCACAGGGCCAGCGGGGCTGAGGCGATTGCTGCTCCCAAGCCTGGCTGCTTGTCAATCACAGCTGGACTGTGCTCACCACGGAGCCCCAGAGGGGAAGAAGAGCTGGGGACAGAGCCCAGGGCACTGCCACTTTGGGCGCAGAGATGCCCCCGGGGAACTGGAGAAAGACCAGCAGTAAGCAGAGGATGGAGGCTGACGTGGATGTCACGACCGTTATGGAATGCAGCGAATCCGGGCTGGAAGGCCATTATGGAATGCAGCGGATCCAGGGTGGAAGGCCATTATGGAATGCAGCGGATCCAGGGTGGAAGGCCATTATGGAATGCGGAGCAAGGGCTGACTGAGCTGAGCAAGACAGAGCAAAACTTAATCAGGCTGAGAGCAGACCGCAGGGGCAAAGGCAGGGCAGGTCTGCAGAACCCAGGGAGCTACCTGGCTGAGCACAGGAAGTGACCTGGGGCCGACAGGAGGCCCGACTGGGTCACCAAGCCTCACACTCAATGGGGAAGGCAAACAGGAAGCCACTGGGGACATTTCAGGGGACACGCAGAAAGCTCTTGAAAATCATGCTTTCTGATGGAACAGGACTCAGCCATCAGGAAAGGAGGGGCGCTTTGGGTAGGGACACAGGGCTCCTCTGAAGTACATCAGATAGAAAAACCAAGCGCAGAGTCCGCGTGGATGGGACCCTGGGGTCAGCGGTCGGGGCAGACGGGCTCTGTGGACTCTTTCTCTTACGTTTATGCCCACAGAGCAGAAAGGGAGCAGCGAGGTACACTGAGGCCCTGGGGTGTGAATCTAAGCGCGGGGCCTCTCCTCCCCGCATGCACAGCCTCCCAACTCCCCATGAGCTGGGCAAACAGCAGATGCGCTAATCCTGGCACCTTCTGGAAAAGCAGCTTTGGCTTCCAAAGAGCAGCTATTGAGGCTTGTTAAAGGAAGCCTCAGGTGGCTCTGGAGGGATGACTTGCTCCACTTTAAATAAAAGCAGTAGTGAAATAAATCAAAGGGCGGCGCCCTTGGCGCGTCGGGCCCTGGTCATTTTCCCGGTGGATGCTGCCCCCTGCTGGCGGAGCCGGCTCACGGCACGGACTCGGAGCTCCCCAGCTTTGCATTCCGGGCGTGCAAGGCGAGCCGGTCCCGCGTCCCCTGCCCTTTATTGACACGGCCACCGCCAGCCCTTGCATCAGCGGGAACTCAAGCAACTAGGCCCATGTGAACGGCGGGGAACTTACAGCAAAGGTCATCGCCACGGGAAATTGCCTCATACACCCGGAGGTTCATCCTGCATGTCACTGCTTGTCCTGTGTGTCCCACGCTCACATGGGTTGGTTGGCTTGCACCCCGCTGCGCCCTAAGAGCAGGTAGGAGGAGACTGAGACACAGAGCGGAGAGGGGTCGGCAGGGGTCCTGAGATTTCCCTTTTAAACCCATGTCTTTCTCTCTTTGAGTCCATAAGAGTAAATCAAGGCTTCTCATCCGTGGAAGACTTTGTCCCTGTCCACCTTTCGGCTATGTCTGCAATTTTTGTTGCCTCAATGAGAGGTGGTCCTGTATCACGTGGGTCGGAGCCTGACGTGCTGCCAGACGCTCAGGACAGCCCCCACAACAAAGACTTGCACCCCAAGATGCCAGTAGTGTCTAGATAGAAAAAATACCTCCAGTCATACAAATGTCCTTGCCCTCTCTTTGGGGCATTGCCCCTGAGCCCAGGGCACTGCAGCAGGGCTGCCTTAGTGCACCCGAAGTTCTTCCTGGGGGTCCCTGCAGAATAGCCCAAGAGACCTCCCCCACAATTTCCCCCAAATACCTTACTTGCCCAAAAGAAGGTCTTTGCGCCCAACAATCCTACTACTGCATTCTAGGAGCCCTGCGAGAATCCTACTGGTGCAGATCGGCAGCGGGAGACGAGGGTCCCGCAGTGGGTGCCATCAGCCCAGGCGCTGGGCAGAGAATATCACAGCTGTGGCCGGCACCACGCCGTACGTCGCTGTTGGGGCTGCCAGAGGCTTCAGGCTCGAGGTGATGGACCTGGACCAGTCCCTGGGAGCTGCCTCTCCCTCCATGCAGCACTCACGCTGGTCCCTGCTTTGGGAAGCTGTTAACCCTGCAGCACCCACGGAACCCTCAGGTCTAGCTAGGAGTGGAGGAGGGGATGGAGAGGACCCAGGGTCAGGCTGCTCTCATTTGAACAGTCACCAGGTGCCTCCCCATGACAAGTCCATTGCCTGCATGGGAACTGATTTTCAAGAACTGGTGCTTGTTGAGTGAATGAATGAATGAATGACCAGAAGGATAAGCTTAATGAGCTTCATTCATTCATTCAAAACTATTCACCGAGTATCTCACTGTGCGGGGCACTGCCCTAGGTATGGGGTGACTGAAAGAAACTAACTCTTTGTTCTCTGTTTCTAGTGGAAGGAGGCAGATGCTATCCAAACAGATATGGACTACCATCTCGGGCAGTCGTGAGGGCCGGGAATGAAGTAAAGTCAGGCAAGCAGACTGACAGACTGGGCAGCTGTTTACACTGGGTGCTTACAAGGGCTTCCCTGAGGACATGTGGCGTGAACAGAGATCTGAAGTTCATAAGAGGCCTTCTGCCTTGCTGCCAACCGTGAGTGCAAAGGCCGTGAGGTAGGAATGTTCTCAAGGAACTGAGAGACAGCAAAGTGACCAGGTGTAGTGCAGGGTGGGCCTGGCATCAGCTCCAAGTGGGCCCTCAAACACGAGCAGACATCTGATCACCAGGAGGGCTAGTGAAAGCAGAGCTGGTGGACGGCAGGGCCTGGAAGCTGCATCTCTAGCAATTCCCTGCAGACGGTGGTGCAGTGCTCCTGGGGTCGCAGCACAGCACATTTGTTCTTCCTGCACATCCTGTCCAGGTCAGCACTGACTACCACAGTGAGAGAGGCCTGCCTTGATTACCCGCCTCCCCACAGGGCCCCATGGTTCTATAGCCTCGTGCTTAGTAAGTACTCAATAAAATATTCATTGAATGAATTCTTCAAGGAAGGGTTCTGCGCCAGGCCCTGCCCTACTTGCTTTTGCCACTCTTCTCTGTTTTGCTGCAAGCAGATCTCAGCTGGCCACACCCACTTCCTGCCAGTCCCCCCTCCCTCCCTAAGCAAAGAGCGGCACCTGCCAGAATCCAGATCTGTGCTATGCTTCTGCCCCCAGCACCCTTGCCTGTCTTGCTGGTGTCCTTGTGTCTGTCTCATTAATTCCTGCCCGTTCCTCAGACTCCATCCAGAGCCTCCTGCCCAGCTCCCTGCCCACTCATCCCAGACTAGCAGTGCTCCTCAAGGTGCAGGGATCCTATACTCGCTCAGGTCCCAGTGCCTGTCCAATTGTGTCTTCCTTTCCAGAACTCACAGATGGGTGGCTCCAGTTTGCACCAGTCAGCAGAGATCTCTAGTGAAGCTGCTGAGTTTTAAATTTAAATTCATCACCAGGAGTGGAGGTGCACTCCTGTAATCCCAGCACTCGGGAGGCTGAGGCAGGAGAATGACCATGAGTTCAGAGCCAGGCTGGGCTACATAGTGAGTTCAAGGCCAGCCTGTACTACATAGTGGGACCCTATTTCAAACAAAATGAAACAAAACAAAACACAATTTAAGTTCATTGCCAACACTTACAAGTGAAGGGATTTCTTATCACCACCCAGCGTCTAGATTACACTAAAAGACTGAGGGACCACCTGGTGTGGTGGTGCACACCTGTAATCCCAGGGATCTGAGAGGCTGAGGCAGGAGGACTGAAACTTTGCATGCAGCCTGGGCAATTGAGTGGCTTAGTAAGACTGTTTCAAAATAAAAGAAATAATAACAAGGGCTAGGAGTGCAGCTCAGTGTGAAGGCCCTGGGGTCAATCCCCAGTACTGCAAAAACAAAAAACATCATGGACCTACACCCTGGGCCCACATTCCCACGTGGCCCCCACAGGCCACAGTCAAGGTCTGGACCTTGTCATCTTGCTTTTGTGACTTTGGCAACCAGCACAGCACCTGGCCTTTTAAAACGCACATTACTGAAACCAGAGGGGAAAATACATCAGTCTCAAGAATGAAGAGATCCAAGGTTGGTTCTGGCTCGGGTAGACTCGTGTGACCTTGGGATTTCTCTGGCCCTCGGTGTCCTTGTCTGCTCAATTAAAGTAATGATAGTCTCGCTTCCCGCCTGCCATCTAGCCAGAGAGGCTGTGAAGAGCTTCGCACGTGCCTCGCATATAATGCTCAATCAGCACAGTCAATACTGCAAGGGACTCAGTAAATATTTGCTCTCCAGGATGAGAGGAAGTGGGAGAGGTGTCAGAGGCCCGCTGGGTCCCTGGGGAGCTGGGGGGTTGGGAGATTCCCTATGTTCAAGTCCTAGTCCACCCCCACCTCAGGAATTTGACATAACCTCATTCTGGCCTCCATCTCCTCACTTATCCAGTAGGGATGATCCAAGCCTCATGAGGGTTATTGTATCAAATATGCACATCGGGCCAGGGATATAGCTCAGCAGCACAGCGCCTGCCTGGCAAGCGCGTGGTCTTGAGTTCGATTCCCAGTACCCCCCTCCCCCCAAAAAATATGCACAAGACTCGGGTAAATTAACCCTCAGCTGCCCTTAGAAGAAGGCTGGGGTGCAATGTGTACATGCTGGAGCTGTGAGGGCAGTGGACAGGAAGTGCTCAGGAGCCCTCCTGGCTCCAAAACTCTTGGCCACCCTAAAGCTGCAAGACTCCCGGCACAAAGCTGCAGCTGTCATTGGGTCACCAAGAATGTTTGGGAAGATGCAGCTCAGTGGCAGAGCACTTGCAAGGCCCTGGATTCCAATCCTCAGTACAGTCCAAAAAAAAAAAAAAAAAAAGTACACTGTATAGAGGCCCCAGGAGGGGAGCACAGTGGAGGAGGGGCAGAATCCACTCACTAGATGGGAATTTTTTAATCTCTCTGGAAAGATCCAAAACACCCTGATGATGGTGCTGACTAAAGTTGCACAGAGCAGCGATACAGGAAGCGAGCAGGTGCGGGGAGGAGGGAAGCAGCCCTGTGAGGGAGGAGCTATTTTTACCCCCATCCCCAGACAGAAGGGGGACAGTTCTGCCCCAGATATGACCCAGTGCCTCAGCTTCACAGAAACCCCTTCCTCCCCCCCAGCGTGGCTCACTCAAGGGGCGCTGGCGGGAGTCAGGGAGTCACTCACAACGGACAGGCAGCCCTGCAGGAGGATCAGCAAGAGGGCAAAGGAGACCCAGTGGCTTTCTGCTCACCCAAGCCTGGGTGCCTGAGACTGATGCGGGCAGAGAAAAACAGGTGGGTACAACGTAGGGGAGATGGCTCTTTACCTTCATGATTGATACCAGCAATGAAGCTCCCAGAAAGAACGTTCCAGCTTGCATTGTGTTACCCTCCATTTGGTGCTGAAACCTTTACAGCTATTCCTAGAGTGTGTGTGCTTGTGCGTGCGTGTGTGTGTGTGTGTGTGTGCCCACACGTGCCCTCTGTGCAAGGCTGGCAGCCACCTAACACCCAGAGCAGCCAGGGAAGGAAAATGCCTCAGATATCTGCGGGACAAGTCACTCCTTGCTGGAGGCATCTCGGAAGAGGAGCTGCTCTTCCCTTTCAGCAACGGCCATCAAAGTCCCAGGGCCCAGCAGGTGTGGAAACGGGTACCGCATGCGGCTGGCCTCTGATGATAAACGGAATCTGACCAGGTAGGTCCCCTCTCACTCAGCACCCGGCAGTCACCTGGCGCACACCTCCATGTCCTGAGTGCTTACACGCGTCCTCTCTTTTATCCTCACCACTGTCCCCCATGACGTGGGTCCCCCCCCATTATCAGGGGTAGAGCGGTGAGGCGACACCCAGGCCAGGGAGATGGCAGCCATTCATCTCTGACCACCTGATGCCAAAGCCAGAGGCCCCTGGGGAGGAAGTTGGCACGTTTGAGCCCCGCCTGGCCGGTAACGTCCTGTGATGCGGGTTGCCTTCTGCATTTCCCAAGAGTAAGGACAGGGAGACATCCGGTCCCCGAGTGTAGAAGCCCTCCACATCGGTTTACTTGTCCCTTCTGTTCGCAGAGATCACTTTAAATACTAGCTATGCCCCCCAACACTGGTTGCTTCTCCATATGAAAACACTCAGCCCCCTTCCTCCTGGCATCTGAAACGTGCACTGCACTGTCATTAGCCAGCCAGAGCCCTGTGCATCGCGCACAGAACGCCTCACTCCCAGCTCTGCATTCGCACCCGCTGATCTGAACCTCTCCCCACGGTTCTCTCATCCCACTTCAGATTTCAAAGAGCATAATATGCTTGGGCTTTTAAAATGAGATTTCTCTTGGGGATGAGGGGAGAGGGCTGGATTTGTTGATGCCCCTGACAGGCTCGCTCCACAGAACCTGGGAAACAGGGTAACAACAAGCCCTTGGACCAAGCTTCTTCCAGACCACTGCAGTTTCGTCTACTGCGCAGGCGCAGTTCCAGACAACTCCAGCCTTGGCCATCTCTTGGGCGAGTCCACTTCCGTGAGGACAAGGGGGTGCAGTGAATCGCCATTGTTCCCGAAGATGGTCCAAGCCAGCCTCTGGCCAATCAGAAAACTTTCTCTATCACTCCCTCTGGCTACACAGGGTAGAACTTCTTTTCCCGAAATGCTCCGGAGGAGCTGGCTGGGAGGTGCTAGTGATTGACGGTGCTTAGAGCCATTTATCAAGACGAATAAAATTGAAGAGCAGATACCGCTACGAATTGCCTTGAAAGAAAATGCCGCTGGTCCCGCCTCGTCCTACTACTGGGTCTCCGAGAGTCTTCAAGGGGGTGGGGGGTATTGGCAGCAGCCAATCGAGGGCCAGCGAGGAGAAGGAGGCGGGGCAGTGGCCTATGGTTGCCAGGCTAGCTTATTTGGATCGGTGCTCCGGACGCTAAAAGTGTGGGGCTGTTTCTCCCAGACCCCAAGGCCAGGGCTTGGGTTTAGGGGCCGGGGCAGAAGCAGAAGCTGCGGCGCCCGCTTGCACATTTCCAGACTGCTTCCAGGGCCTTGAACCGGGCCGCATCTACAGCCCTCGGTCCTCTCTTGCACCCGACTTCCGACCCCAGCCGGACCAGCAGGGCCGCGCTTGGTCGAGCAGTATCCCCATTACGGTCACAGACCCTGGTGATCACCCTTCCCCACTTCCCTGGCCCAGGCCGGACAGAGCCGCGAAGCTCACCCACTAATCCCTCTAACAGCTGCGTCTTTGCCCTGTTGGTGGTAGTGGTTGGTTACCATGGTGAAGCTGGCTGCCAAATGCATCCTGGCGGGTGAGTCTGAAAACTTGCGCTTGAATACAGTGGTCTCTAACGTCCAGAGCCTTCATAATTCATGGGGAGTTTTTGTTCAAGTAAACGCTGTATACTTTCCCTGTTTCTCTCCCCAAGGTGAGCTGCTGCAGTTACCGACGTGGTAAATGCCGTTAGGTGGGAAGCAGTTATCTTCCAGAGCACATTTGTAGCACCGCCCCTATCGTACTCTGAGACCCCTACTTTGAGCTGTATTGACGAGGAACAGCCTTGTTTAAAAATCAGGCTAAGCAAACCCCAAGTGCTAAATCATTTGCTTTGCCCCAAAATCAGGCATCAGTGACTTTGGTAGTCTTTACTCAGGGGATTCTTTTCCTGGCCCCACTTCTTCTGATAAAATAGACAGAAGAGAGTGTGCAGAGGCACTTGTTTGCTGTCTTTAAGGTCGAATGTTACTGTGCTGCCCTGTCTCAGGAGAACATAAACATCTATGTCTTGCCTGCCATCCCAAGCATCTACTCCAATGCCTAAAACATAGTTACTCAGGAAATACAGAGTGTATGGCATTCACATCTGTATTGTTTTCTTTGGGTCGGTCTGCACATGTAGAAGTGTGATTGCTGGGATTAGACCTGTGTCTGCAAAACAAATACATATTTCCCTGAGCCCTTACTGCACACATGTATTCACTCAACCCTGTCACCGAAGGACGCTGGGGTAAATTCTGCATCATCCTGCTCTTCCTGAGGCCCCGAGGTGATGCCCCGATCCACCCCACTGAGGGTCGTAAACAGGATTTACAGCCCCAGGTCGGCCCAACTCCAGAACCCTTACCTGGTGTTGCTGTCGAAACCTGTGACCTTTCCAGGCTTCCCTGACCAACTCAGGAAAGAACCAAGAAGCAATTACATAAAGAAAAAATTCCTTTTTATTCCTCCCTTCCAGACTGAAAATAATGGATAGTTCATTTTTCTGTTTATTTGTTTTTTCAGTACTAGGACCTTCACACTGAGCTACATCCCTTTTTAAATGTTAGGACAGCATCTCACTAAGTTGTCCATGCTGGGCTTGAACTTGCAATCCTCGTGCCTCAGCCTCCCACAGTGCTGGGCTTACAGGCCTGCGCCACTACACCTGATAGTGTTTTTAATGACTTTTCTGTTTGAAAGTACAAGGCATCATACAGAATGATGCCTGACGGTAGTAACTCTGATCATACTGGAGCAAAAGATATTAATGGTTCTCAGGAGACTCTCTAGTTTCCAGAGTACCAGGAGAGGCAGTGTTGTGTAACAGAAATAATTCCGGCTGTTCCTCTTCCTGGTTGTGTTATCTTGGACAAAGCATTCCTTTGAGCTTCAGTTTCCTCATTGGATGAGGTGGGAACATTTTCGTTTTCTGAAGCTAGATTTCTTTTTCAAATGAACTTCTGTCTCTGCTTGTCCTTCCTCCGAGTTCCTTTTGAATTCAGTTTCCTGAGCACTTTCTGTGTGCCGGCCTTACGCTAGACCCTCAGCGCTGCTCCCATGAGCCCTCACAACATCGCTATGGGGTTGGTTGGTATTGCTGGCATCCTGATTTACAGATGAGACAAATGAAGCCCAGAGGGGTGAGGACACTTGCCTGTGATCACACAGAGCTGTGTGATCCAGAACCTGACCCACACCCAGGTGATCTGATGTGCAGGGCTTTGTTCTTGGCACAGGCTGTACTGTCCTCAAACCTTGGTCCTTTTGCCCTTCTTTACCCCTGCTTTCTCTAGCACTTGTTTCACCTGATTCCAGCATCAGCCTGAGTCAGTGGCCCTTGAACTCCAGCCCTGCCTGCAGGGCTCCATCTGTAACCTCCTGTCAAGGCCGCCAGGGCATCTCCTCCGAGAAGTTTCCAGGGATCAAAGCCCTCAGCCTGGGACCTGGCCATAGCACCACCTCCCAGTTCTCATCCCCCCGCCACACCCCTCACGAGTTGTTCCCATTCAACCCTATGGGCCCACACTCTCTCACATAACTGCTCATCAGAGCCCTGATCTTCCAGGGTATTTACTGAGCACCTACCGTCTGAGTCACCATGCAAGGTGCCATGGAACTCAAGGCTGGATCAGTGCAGCTCCGGGAAGAACTAAGCTATGCATGACCAGTTATAACGCCAGTGCCGCAACCACAAGTTGATTCCCCTTTGTGTGCTCGACTCTGGAGAGATATCAAGGCCCAGCTACTGCATGTTCTGGTTCAGATGCAAAGAGAAAACCATTCTGTAATTGGTTTATTTTAAAAACACTTAAATAGCCCTTACTGTATGCCTGTCACTGTACATGTTGGCTCATTAAATCCCATAACAGTTCTATGAAGTAGGTGCTGTTAGTAACCCATTTTTACTCAGGTAGCAACTGAGGCACAGGGATGAAGTAACTGACCTGACACCGTGCAGCTGAGAAGTGGGGGAGCTGGAGCCTGGCTCCTTGGTCCATGCCCTTAACTACTATACTGTGCTGCCTCTCTGTGCACGTGGGGGTGACAGTCATGCCTCTGTGGGGGCACAGTGCCAAGGTCAGGGCTCCTGCTACGAGCAGGGATCCATGCATTCTCCCAGGCAAGAAAGGAGGTAGCGCTCCCCTCCGAGGCTGTGTAGGAAGGAACTAACTGAGCTTTGCTTGGAGAGAGCAGGATTTGGACTTGGGTTGGAAGGAAGGGGCTGTGAGACTGTGGGGTGGTGAGGGACTGGGGAACAGGGGTGCAGAGCCCAGATTCTGCGTACAGGGCAGGTGGAGAGAGTGGAAGGTGGGTCAGCGCTGACTGGAGCGAAGTCGCCATGGTGTCAGGGCGGGAAGCGCAGCTCTGTGAGTGCTCCGGGGGTGGGGACGCCAGGGCGGGATGGGAAGGCGAGAGGGCCTCTGGGGAAGCGTTTTCAGTCAAGGCCTGGTTGAGAATCCAAAATATATTCAGCATTGCAACAAGGCCATTTTAATGATGTCACTGGCTTCTCAGGTGTTAGGGCCAGAAAAGGCCAGAGGAAGCGCCAGCTAGAGAGGCGGGCTGTCAGCAGCCTGGAGGAGCCACAGAGGGGCGCTGCGCCCCAGAGGTTGAGTTGTGGGCCTGAGCCTGCTACGTGCCACGGGTCACTAGGGGCCTCTGGAGGGTCTATACTTTTCAGATCTGCCTTGGCCCCAGGGACTGCGTAATCAGGGTCCAGGTGAAAAACAGGAACCACATGGGGCAAGGGCTTCATTGTACGCAGTGGACATTAGATATTGAAGGGCTATTGTGAGCTATTGAAGGGCTCAAGAGGAGAAATAGACAGGAACACAGGGGCAGCGCAGGAATGACTGCGAGGAGGAGCAGGGCCTCCGGGACTAGGGACGCAGGAAGGTGGGCGTGGTCATCAGAACTTTGAGGCTCAGTTTGGAGGAAGACCTGGGAGCGGAGTGTGGAGCCCACCGTGCTGGTGCCTGTATGTGGGGCAGGGATGTATTGGTCAGCTTTTTGTCACTGTGATGAGATTTCTGACATATACAGTTTAAAAGAAGAGGGGTTAATTTGGCTCATGGTGTCAGAGATTTCGGTCCATGGTTGGCTGGCTCCAGTGCAGAACCATCATGGCGGAAGAGCATGGCTGCGCTCCTGATAGCGCCCAGGAAGCAGAGAGCAGGGGAAGAACCAGAGAGGAAGCGGGCAGGGAACAGATATGGTCCCCAAGGTCATACCCCCATGACACACCCAGACACATCTAGAAGTGTACTTTTCCAATCTCCCAGGCATGTATCTGGACAGTCAGGCTGACAGTCATGATTAACTGTCACAGGGGACACGATAGGGTATTTGCAGAGCCCTGTCCCAGTGCTGCAGAGCAGAGCGTGGGAGGCGGGTTGGTATGAGGCATGAGCTCAGAGCAACATGAGGATGTGCTGTGGGCAGGAGATGCAGCAAAGGTCTCAGAGAGTGAAAGGGAGGCCAGCTGGGTTGGGAGGAGGTGACGGTTGCATGGAGACAGTGAGGACACGTGGTGAGCAGGCAGAATGAGCTAGGTGGGCGAGCCCTCTCAGGGACAGGCATGGCATGAGGGCGCTGTGGACACAGATGGAATGAAAGCCCTCACCCTGTTGGAACCTCCATGGGTAGCTGGAAAGTCAGATGGCCCAGGGGGGATCCCTGCCTGCAGTGAGTCAGGGGAAGGAGGACAACTGAGGCAGAGTAGCCAGGAGCAGAGTGCTGAGGACAGCCCCCAGGAGTGGCCACATCCGGGAGCGGGGGAGGGGAGCAGAAGGGCAAGAGACCCGGCAGGTTTGGGGGCAGCAGAGGCCACCAGGATGGCTGGGAAGAAGGGGCGTCAGGGTGAGAAGTGAGAAGAGACCACTGGATGTGGCGGTTACAGGTCACAGGGTGGTCGTGCGTTGAGCTTCTGCAGTCCCGTGGCCAGCAGTGCCCTCCGCCTGCACCCCCAAGGTTACGCGCTCACCCCTACATCAGGAAGCCACGCAGGCTGGCGACCTGGCTGCCTCTTTGCTCCCTCGATGCTCCTTCCACGCTGCGGTTCTCAGCTTGTGCTGTTTGAATTTGCACTTGTCATCTTGTTGCTCTGCAAACGTGTTTATCAGTTCTGTCGTCTCCCCATGCTCGGATGCCTCCCCGGAGCCCACACAGGAGGTTTGCTGTGAGTGTTGGTGACTGACTGACAGGCGGGAGGAAGATTTATGAAATTAGCCAGAACCAATCTGTGGGGAGGTTCACAAGCAAGAAGAGCCGATTTCCAACTGGATTCAGGAGCGGAGTTGAAGTCGGGAGGGCATGTGCTCGACAGGCGACCCAGGCCGTGGTGCCCGGGTGTCCTGGAAGGCCACAGCGATGGATGAAGGCCTGAAATGTGCCAGCCGTGGTCCCTTGAGCCCCCGGAGAAGGCTGAGGGATGCAGAGAGCGTGATGTGGGAGACCTGGGCCCGTTACTGGCTTCTCAAGCCTGGGTCTCCTCATCTGTAGCAGAGGAGGGAGGGGGCGCAGCGTGGGGAGGGGCTGATGGGAGTGTGACTGGGTTCACGAGGGAGTACAGCACATGTCAGCTCCCTTCTAAGAAGCGGTGGCAGATAGCAAAGCAAGTCCCGAACAGCGCACTCCAACCTGGAGGAGTTCACGTCAGTGACATGCCACTCGTCGTCGAATAATCGTCTCACACGAGAATATTATAGGTGGGAAGAGTCAAAACTGGAAAATGAACAGAGTGGCAGACTGTCGAGAAGTCAAGCAGAGAGAGGTGTGGGAGCAGCTGTAAAACGGGAAGCGAAGGTGCGGAGACCATTGCCAGTGATGAGAGAGAGAGAGGGAGGGAGGGAGGGAGGAGGAAGGGAGGGAGGGAGAGAGAGAGAGAGAGAGAGAGAGAGAGAGAGAGAGAGAGAGAGAGAGCCGGGCACACAGTGTACGTTGATGTCGCCAGGGATTGGAAGGGCAGAAAGCAGAAAGCCCTGCCGCGGGGGTGGGGGACGGGATGGCGGAACGGGAGCCAGTGTGAGAGTGTCGTGATGGGAAATATGCCGTGCATGACAACAGCTGACATCCAAGGGCACCAGGCAGGGCCATGGGCACAAAAGTGGGGAGGCTAGAGGGGAATTACAGGTGAGCACACAAAGCGCTTCCGCCACCCTCAACAGCCTGGGAGCCACCCACGTTGAGGCTCCCAGCAGTCCGGTGGGAGATCTCAGAGTGGAAGCCCTGCGGTGCCAGTATCTGGGGTGCCTGACTGACCGACCGACCGAGCACAGCCAGGCAGTGAGCCCAGCAGGTGCGAGGCGGCTGGAGCGGGTGATTGTGCCATAGAGTTTCCAGAGAGGCCCTCAAAAGATGGACCCCAGTGTCACAAATAGGCATCAAAGTGGTAATGAAAGATGTCATCAGGGGCATGGGTTTCAGATCCCATAAATGCAGATAAGCAGACGACCAGGTGGCAGCTCTGCACTCAAGTCAGTTCTGCCAGGGGGTCCCCTTGCCTGAGTTGGCCCCGTCACTCATCTTTCCTGCCAAGGCTTCCGGTAAATCCGAGCTTGAAGGTGATAGGGTTTCCCATGGCTGTGTCTCACCGGAAGTGTCACTTCTGTTGCCAAGGCTCCATCTAGACCTCTCCTTAACCTCCTTCACCTTCTGGGTCGTTCTTCCCAGCGAAAGAAGCATTTGTCAGTTAGGAGCGCTGCCTGTGACCTCTGTGGGTCCTGTGACAGCAGCGGTGCTGGGAAGAACTGAAGTGGTGTCTTTCTTCTGCTCTCACCCTAGGAGACCCGGCTGTGGGCAAGACCGCCCTGGCGCAGATCTTCCGCAGCGACGGGGCCCACTTTCAGAAGAACTATACCCTGGTGAGCTGGGGCCCTGGGCTGGCCGCAGCTTGAAGAGATGTGGCCATTGGACCCCAAGGGACTGACTTTGCAGAATCCCTGGAAGCAGCCCCAAAAGGCTATGTACATGGCCACATAGAGATCAGTTTTCTACCCACTGTGGTGAGGGGTGCCCACAGGCACTCCCAGTCAGACCCTCTGGTTGCCACAAACAGCAGCTTCCCCAGGGGCAGGGAAGTGAGGAGACGAGGGGCCCTCTGACTTCTGCAGGCCCAGCCAGGGGTGGCACTCCAGGGAGTTCGGATCTCATCCTCATGCCTCTGTTCCTCGGCAGACAACAGGGGTGGATTTGGTGGTGAAGACAGTGCCAGTTCCTGACACAGGCGACAGTGTGGTAAGTGGCATCCCAGACCCAGGTGCACCAGGACTATTCCAGTGGGCCCGGGGCCTCCTTCCTAGGAGACACACCAGTGGTAGGGGATCAAGGCCCAGATTTCTCTGTTCGTGGGAGTTGGAGAACACTCGAGGGAGGGACTGACAGGGCCAGAGGGGCCTGGGTTGTGGGCCTGGCTGAGGAATTGTTGTCTGGTACCACGGTTCTTAACCTGGGTCCCTCTGTGGGAAACCCAGAGCTCATGGAGTGGAGTTGAGAGATACTAGTTTGTGTGTCCCACAAGAGGGTTTGTAGCTTCTTTCAGCTGCTTAAAGAGGCCCGTGAACAAAGAGAGGGAAGGGGAGGAAAGGGGATGGATAGGGAAGGGAAGAAGGAAGGAAACTGTAAGCACCTGACACAGCAAGACAAGGACACAGGCGGCCAGCATTGAGGACAGCTGCTGGTGCTGATGTGACAGCAGGTGCCGGGGTCAGGAGCCAGCCAGGGACCGCCCTGCTGGGAGGGGCTGAAGGGACCTGCAGAGAGGCTTCCAAGGGCAGCAGCAGTGGGAAGGGGCTCGCACCCGGGCCGGGAAGGCTGGGACAGACAGGAAGGAGCATCTGGTGCCCTTGTCAGAAGCGCTCCTGAGCTGTCCCCACATGAAGGCAGACTGTCCTACTTTCAACGCCTCCCCAGGCCTATTCGGTGACCTCCTTTAAAAAGAATTGTTTTAAGATTTGAAAATCAATTTGGTTAACAAAGTGCAGAGTGACCTTTTGGAAACCAGAGCACTCGTCAGCCTGTTTAGCATTCTGTCTGCCAGGTGGGAAGTCAGCCTGTTCCTGGTATTTTTGCACTCGGGGTTGGGAGAGGTGAGGCTGCACAAGCGCGGTGGCTGGGGTGGAGCCCGGTGCTGCTTCGGGGACTCTGGACTTCCTTGTCGTGCCTGGGGAAAGACAGAGCGTGTAAGACAACGCGTGTGCATGTGGGTGCGCGCATGTCACCACTAAGCCAAGTTCACGGGGAGCTGAGAGCGCCAGCGGTGACTTGCGGCCAGCGGTCTCCCCTTGTGTATGCTTCCCTGGGACGCGCTTCTCTGATTGCAGGAGCTCTTCATTTTTGACTCGGCCGGCAAGGAGCTGTTTTCTGAAATGCTGGATAAACTGGCAAGTACATGAGCTCTTTTACCTAACTGCCTCCACCCCACCTCCTGCCCCACTGCTAGCCCCTTATGATGCTCGCATAGAAATGCCACTGCATCGTAGCCAGTGAGAGAAGCTGCCGTGCCTCGGCCATATGCATTAAAGGGCATTCGTCACCCCTGCTCCTGGATGGCTAGCTCCCAAACGTGCCAGAAGCTGTGTGGCTGTCCTTGCACTCCCCTCTGTGGGGCATCCATCCTTCACAGCCCCCCTCCTTTGTGCTGTCAACACCCCTGCCATGTTTTAACGGAAACTGCTCTCTGCCCCCTTTTTGCTAAGAGAAGTCGAGGTAACAATGGTAGTTCCACCCAGGATGGCTTCACGCAGCGACTCATGGTGCTCACAAGCACCCCCAGTGTGCATGGCCTGGCGCTGGGTGCCGTTGTGCTTGGCAGAGGGAAGGGAGGTATGTGTGTGGGCAACGCAGGGCCAAATGCTTCCCATCAAACCCCTCCCTGCCTCCAGCCGGCCTGACTCAGCCTTGCCCACCCCGGCCTCAGCTTGATCCCTGGGGTGGTGTTCCACCTCCAGGAAGGCCTGGACAAAGGAAGGTTTCTAAGGTATCTCCTGATGCCTGCATGGGGAGGTGAGTGTGTTTTGTTTCTGGGGAGAGTTCGTGAGTCAGCCTAGAGAAAATCATGGGGGTCGTTGGTTCAGCCCACGCTCCTGTATCTTGGGTGCCTCCAGGAAGCAGTGTAGCCTTGGAGGTCGGGAGAAGGCCCTCCAGAGTCAATCCTAGGCTGGCCCTCCAAGGTCAACGGGAGGAGAAAGGATTCTTCCCTATGCCCACCCCAGACATAAGCCAGGGCCACCCTTGCTCCCCAGGGCAGGATGTCCCAGGACCCTGAGCAGTCCCCGAAGCCTTTGAGAGTGAGCCCTGGCCCTTAATTGGGACACAGAGCCCTGTGCAGTTGATGTGGTGTGTATTAGGGCTGATGCCGACGCTGCAGGAGCAGAAGTGGCCTCTGCATTTTGCAAAGCCAGCCCTGACAGGAAGATACATGCACACGCACTCCCAGGCACTGGCTCGGAAGGGAAGAAGCACTCACAGCTTGCGTTGTGATGGGCCTTGGACAGCAACACCGAGGGAAGAAGGAATTAGCAAAGCCAAGGGCTGGCAAGAACAGAGCTCTGGGTAGAGAAAAGCCTCAGGCCCATCTTGGCCCCTCCGTCCCTAAAGCATGTGGACATGGGCAGGCCAGGTCGCCTCCCTCCACTTAGTTTCTCCAGTACAAAGTAGGACCATCCAGACTGACCCCACAAGGTTAGGAAGTTTCACAGTCGTTCACAGAATGTTCCAGCAGAGCCTGGTCCACCTGTGAACTCTGCATCCCCCCAACCCCGCCTGGAACACACCTCCGTTCATTCCTGCGGAGAAGCCCTGGCGCCTCTGTGGATGTGCGTTTCCTGACTCACATCTCCTTGATAGTTTTCCTGCATCCCTCCACCGTCCAGTCCCTCAGCCGAAAGTCAGATTGCCCCCCAGCCCAGGAACCACCTTCACATTTGTGACATGGGCTCCTCCTGTCCCTCGAGCAGTGGGAGAGCCCCAACGTTCTGTGTCTCGTCTACGATGTGACCAATGAGCAGTCCTTCAGCAACTGCAGCAAGTGGCTGGAGAAGGCCCGGGCACAGGTCCCTGGCACCTCCCTCCCAGGTAGGAGCTACCAACATGGGCATTTCCAGCAGCGCCACTGTCCTTCAGCTCCAGAGTGGGAGGTCCCAGCAGAGGTCACGGGGGGCAAAGCAGGGCACTGAGGCTCTGACTCCAGTGGCCAGGACTGTGCCCTGGCTCTGCCTCTAAGTCTGTAGGTACAGTGGGGTTGATGCCACCCACCTGACGCAGCCATGGTGAGACCCAAGATAACAGGGGGAAGGTGCTGTAACATGAATCGATATTTTCAGAAAGCTAACCGCAGGGAAGGCTTCCTCATTTTCTCCTGTGTATGGGGCACACGTTGCATTCAAGTCCTGTTGTCACTTCTGAATGCTTTAAATCAGTTTGTTTCTCATCCCTATGCGAGATCAACAAATTCTCCTCATTAAAGACCAGGGAAAGCGATCTCCAGAGACAGGCCCAGAAATTAGCTGTAGCCGATGCAGCTGGAAGCAGAACTAAATTATCTCTGAATCCCTGACTCTGAGCCCGGGCCTGAGATTAGTATTAATGACCATTTTTAAAGTTTGCCCCATGTGCTAGGAATTATCACAAATGTGCACCGAAATTGGCCCTCGCCCGCACAGCACTTATAATCGTAGGGAAACAAGGGGCATAGATACACGCGAAGCCTAGAAAGAGAGCCCAAGCTTGTGTTCAAGCCAAAGGCCACCGGATTTCTTGAGGCCCCAGGGACCCCCGGCCTTCCTGCCCCCTCACCAGGCAGCTTCTCAGACCAGGTTCAGCACCCCTCGGAAACAGCATGCTGCCTCCCTGGCTGACCGCCCAGCCCGCCACAGTTACATGTGATGTTCTCCTTGTTTTCTTTTGAGTAGGTGTTTTAGTGGGAAATAAGACAGATCTGGCCAGCAGACGAGCAGTGGACCCGGCGCAGGCCCAGGCATGGGCGCTGGGCCAAGGCCTCGAGTGCTTTGAGACATCTGTGGTGAGTACCTCCGCGTGCCACCAAGGCTGGGGTGGCCTCTGCCAGGAGTGGTCGAGTGCTGAGGCCGTCTGTGTGAAGTCCTGTTGGGAGCTGATGTTCATGTCCGCAGCCCAAGGTCTTTTCACAGGGTAGCAAGCGTCACCGGTCCTCTCAGTAAAGCAGAGCCACCCGGCCGCCCCGGGAGAAGCTGGGTCTGCACTGGTGAGACGCACCAGTGGACCTGGTTCAGTTTCTCTGACCTTGACGCTTGCATGAGATGGTACGGGTGACTGTGTCATTGGCACATTAATTGGACCGTCACAGTCAGTCCTGTGAATGCGGAGTTGCCTCTCTCCCATTCCTAGCTCAGGAAGAGCAGGTAAAACGACTGCCTGAGGGCACGTGACGAGCAAAGGGCCAGGGCCCGGATCGCCAGCTTCTCGTGCCCACCGGTGCCTCTTGTATCCTTGCCCAGGTGACTCCAGGCTACAAAGTGTCCTCTAACAGAGCCAGCAGGAGTGCTCATGGAGCGGGCAAATCAAGAGCAGCCTGCCACCAGCCTCTTTCGCTGACCTAGGGTGTCCCGCCCTGCGGAACCCCTTCCTACACACCCCGTGTGAGCAAGAGCCGGGAAACAGGCATTGCAGAGCCCACAGCGACCCTCACCACAGTTCCCAGGGGCTCCTGCCAGGCCCCCCGGCCTTGGCTGTAATGGAGACCTCATTGTGCAACCTTCAGATCTGATTCTTTGGCTCTTCAAAGGCAGTGGGCTGGTGCACACCCTGGGCTATCACCTCTGCTCCTCAGGCCGCTCCAGCTGCAGGCTGAAGCTACTGCTGTTCAATCATGGTATGGACTTGAACTCTGAGTCCCCAGCGCGGCCCGCTTCCTGCGGAAGACATAGGCACTCTGACCTCTCCGGTGAGGAGCTGGACTAGCTGTGCCACCCTGGCTTGTTATTTAAACCGTGGGAGCCTCGGGTGGCCCACCTGTAAAGGGGAATGATAAAATATGTCCCTCACTGAGTAGTGTGAGAATTAAGTAGGGTGGTAGAACGAAACACTTCGCAAAAAGTCTAGTGCGTAGTAAACCCTCAGCAAATGTTAGCTTTTTAAAGTATAAATGTTCCCCCTGTATCTTGTTTTACTGTTATTACTTACTAAATCCTTGAATCCATAGCTTGTACGCAGATGAATGTCACCCTTGCCTATGGTCCAATTATCACAAATGCTAAATTAATGAAGCTCAGATTAGAGAACCTGTGTTTGTGGCACGCTGTGCGGGGGCTCCTCGCCTGCACGCAGCAACCTTTGAGTGTAGGCATGAGCTGTGTCACCCACAGCACGCAGGACCACCCTGTCCCCTCTTCCTCCACTCACACTGTTGACATTGTCCCATATTTCCCAGAACTCAGAAGTTCAAACCCGCCCCAACACCTCAGTCACCAAAGGCCATGGGCCGCGCGGTTAACTCCATTCAGGTGTTGCAGCGGGTGGGTGTAAATTATTCTTGAAGAGGCTGCAGTGAACGCTCGGTATTAACCGTGCACCTTAACTAGTCCCCCCTGAGTTGATGCTCACAGAAGCTCCACTGGCAGCTCAGGTAAGAAAGCTGTAATTAAAAAGGAAATACAACCAAATGCTCTTTGAGATGCGGCCAAGTCTTGACGCTAAGCCCATCTCCTCTCTCCCTAAATGCAGCAGCAATCCTCTGGCTGACCCAGAAGCGCGACCTACAGGGCTCTTTGACTTTCTGAGGGTCCTGGATGTTTGAAATTTTCAGGCCAGTTCAGAAAGGTGTTATAGCTTTCCCCAGTTGCACAGCGAAGGAGGAGTAGAACCAGCACCAGGACCCAGGCCTGTCCAGCCGGGGTGCTGAGGCCTTCTGGAAGGGGTCCTCACTCTGTGCTCTCCCAAAGCACACCATGGCACTCTTGGGGACAGTTCTAAGCCATGCTGAGGATGAGTCTGAGTCTCCTCCAAGGATCCTGCGCTCTAAGCAAACCTACTCTAGGGGCTGGGGATTTAGTTCAGTGGTGCGGCGCCTGTCTGGCAAGCTCAAGGTCCTGAGTTCAATTCCCAGGACATGTGCCCACCCCCACCCCGCAAAAAAGGCAGACCTTCTGTCAGTGTCCAAAGTGGGTAAGCAAGATTATGATTAGTCATTTGACAAAAGGGTTCCTGTCACAGGAACCCTCGGTGCATTTGGAAAATGGTTCCGTTTCTGTCTGTTTCAGGGGCCCTCTGTGGTGTCTGTTGAGGCTCACGGCCCTGCCTTCCTTGATTTCTATGCTGGGTCCTCCCAAGATCATGCTACAGAGCGCTTTCAGATTCACTCAGAAGTCCTTATGCACAGCTATGCAGGCCTTTGTCTCTTCCTGTTCAGGACTTAACTATGGGCCGTTTCATGGGTTGACATTGACGCTGTGCGGCAGGAGATGCTCTGCACACCCAGAGGCGTCATAGTCTCCTCCACATCCACCTGGAGGTGGCCGTTGTGAGCTCAGCACAGGTGCTCGTCTTAGCTACGACTGACCCCACCCTCAGCACACTCCTAGCACTGCCACCTGTTTCCTGGCTCGGGGTATCCCTTGCTACAGAGTCCAGGCAGCTTTCTCCATGGCCTGGTCCCCTGTGTGCACGACTGGCTGCACAGAGGAAAGCCTGCTTCTCAAACGGAGGCTCTGGAGCGCCAACCAGCTGGCTGCTCCACCCGGGGCCCCAGCCACTCACCTGGAAAATGCAGTCACCGCGCATGGCGACTTGGGTGACATTCTTCACGTGGAGCTTCGCCCGTTCTGTTGGGGATACTTCACTGCTTCCCATCAAGGTTGTGCTTTTGCCAGCTGCCAGAGAGCTTTCTGAAACAGATTCTTGTACATTCATAGTTTCAGCTGCTATCTGCAGTAGAGTGGGTTGTTTCTTCTGCCAGCTTGTTTCTTAAAAATTAAAAACACACACATGCACATACAGAGAGCAGGAAAACAGTGATGGCCACTGCACCGTCTGCCCATGTGGAGGTCTGTTTCCTAGCCCTTAGCTATACTCGAGGGCAGTGGTGGTGAACCTATGAAACACACGACGCACTGAGCTGTTTGTGTCATTGAAAGCTCTAAAAGGTTCGCCATCACTGCTGCAGCACAAGTTCTTTAACTTTTCTGATCCCTGTCACACCAGAGAAATGTCCTTTGCATCCTATAGTCCTGAAAATACTCAATTCTTGTCAACCATAGTAGCACATGCCTGTAGTCCCAGCTACTCTGGAGGCTGAGACAGGAGGATTGCAAGTTGGAGGCCAGTCTGAGCAATTTAGCAAGACCTTTTCTCAAAAGATAAAGAAATAGGGCTGTGTCTCAGTGGTAAAGTGCCCCTGAGTTAAGTACCCAGTATTGCAAAACGAGAAACCACTTTGTTTCAGCTATTACAATACCCAGTGCTAGGTCATGGTGCAGACTCCTGGTTTGATGGGAAGTCACACCTCTGGCAGGCCACAGGGGAGGGTAAGGCAGCAGTGACCGGTGCTAGGTGGCTGTTGAAAGCACACGACCTCTGTGGCCCTGTGTACTTGCTGGGTGTCAGACCGATGCTCTGTGGGCGCTGTAGACCTATGACTCGCCTGAGCTCCTAGCAGAGCCCCTTTAAGGCAGCACCAAGCCAGCTCTCACTTCCCACTGGCCCTCAAGAAGCGGAATTGGGAAATGCCTGGGCCCACCTTCTCCAGGAAGCTCCCTGCAGCTCCTCTGGTCCCTTCAGCCCTGATCTTCCTTTGAGGCTCTTGCTTACAGCACAGACCAGGGCTCTGTCTGCTATGACATTTACCTCAGGGCCTCGTTTTACCACGCAGCTAGCGTGGCAGGAAGGACGGGCTCTGTTGAAACAGACCTCAGTCAAACCCTGGCTCCAGCATTTGCACTGGCTGTGGCTGTCTGCGAGTTCCCTTAATCTCTGTCTGTTTCCTTGTCATAAAGCTGGCAGCATGAGAGTAGCACCCCCAGGGGTACCAAGATGAATGAAGCCGAATGGGGAGTCCCTGGGGGAGGAAGGCCTGAAGGAGCGCTGGGTCCCTCTGTTAGAAAAGCAGGACAGCTGCCTCTCTGTCCACAGAAGGAGATGGAGAACTATGAGGCCCCCTTCCGCTGCCTGGCCACGCAGTTCCTTCACCTGTACCGGGAGAAAGTGGAGCTGTTCCAGGGCCTGGTGTGACAGCCCCGGCTTGTTCTGCAGGACGGCGCGGTGCTCAGGAGCGTGGCGGAGCTTCATCTCCCTCCCAGAACGCAAGAAGATGGAATTGCTTTTTCCCTTCTGTGTATCATGACAGCTTTAAATAAAAGCAGCAGCTCTTGGCCTAGGCAACCCTGGCTCCATTTCTCATTCTGGTTGCAGTCGCAGAGTGGCCCTGTTTATGGAGGGTGGTGGCGGTGGTGGGGTGAGGGCCCTGCCTGCCCAGCGTGGTGACACCCACGGCTGTCTCGGGGCAGGGCTGTCCCTTTCCAACCGCTCCTGCCTTTCCAGGTGCCCCAGTCCCCTCGGGTGGCCACTGCCCCTGACCACACTGTGTCCCTTGCCAGCTTCCGTGATTCGAGGCCACTTCCTCCATGGCCATCTGTCAGCTAGCCAGCCAGCGGTCTTCACTCTGCCCGAGCTAGACATTTGTCCATCCTGTCCTACAATACCACTTTCCCTGTCCCCGGCCCTGATTAAAGACCCAGGACTGTCCTCACTGCTGTGATTGTCAGTGCTGCAAGCCATGGTCCCATCCAGGGCCTTCTGGAACTGTCACCCACCCCTAGGGGCCTGCACCCTCCCCAGCCAGGACGCCAGAATGCCCTGGCCTATTCCCGTCAGGCCCAGGGCTCTGCCTTATGGGAGGGGGCCATTGTGCCAAGAGCACCAGCTCTGGAGTGGATGGGCCCTGTCTGTGGGGATAATGGCAGTTACGGACATCACTCTGGCTTCTGTTTATGACAGGCTATCGCTCCGTGAGCAAAGCACGGGAAATGTATTAGCTGACTTTGTCCCTGCAGCCGAATCCATTAACCTCCCACTTTTACAGATGAGGACCTTGGAGGAGAGAATTAGCTGAGGGGTAGCGGGACCAGGAAGATGGACATCAGAGCCCAGCCACAGCCCCTCTTCCACCTCCTCTGAGCTTGACAGGAGCACGTGAAGGTCACAGAGAAGTGACATAACGGCTGTGCGGGGCATCTGGTCACAGGAAGTCACCCTCCTAGGCCCCGCCTCTTCCTGTGATTCATGGCCATGATAGTCTCACTCCAGAAAGCTACTGTCGAGGTCTGACAGGGCAGTGGACACCAGCAACACCGACTGCTAGGCTCCTGTGACATGCCAAAGGTCCTTCATAACCAAGTATTGCCTGTTACCCCAGAATTGGTGACCAGCACCCACAAATGTGGACACAGACTTAGCTAAGGAAACCACTTCCTGGAAGTCACCAAAAGTTAGGGCCTGTCAGGCCCCTTCCCTGTGGCTCCTGGGAAGCCCCGTCCCCACCCCACTTCCGCCCTCCTATCTCTGTCAGAAGACCGGAGCAGCCACAGTTGGTAGATGGGTGCCCTCCCTGGCAGAGTCTCCTACGATGGAGGTTCACTGCCAAGAAGAGACGCTGCCACCTCACTGCCCAGCTAGATGCTGGCTGAGCTTCAGGAGCCTGTGCCAGCTGCAGGTGTGGGTCACGGGTGCCTCCCTCCAGGGGTTAGGTACAGAGGGCCTGGAAGAGGCCTGCCCCAGCAGCAGGGAAGACGGGCTTTGCCGAAAGAGGACACAGGTGGCATGCAGAGGGCTCTGACAGGGATCCACATGGACAGGAGTCCTGCGACCAGCACTGGGCAGAGAGCTGTTTCCCCCTGGAAAGGCCATGGGGCTGGCAGCTGGCAGAGCTACAGAGGGAGACCCCAGCCTGAGACAGGGTGGATCAGCCTGTTAGGAAGAGCCAGCCGGAATGAGGGTTCAACGGAGCGTGACGGAATGAAATGGCTTAGCTTTGGGGCCCAGTGGTAAACTGGCCCTACCAGTAAGTAATGATCAGGATGGTTTCAGACAGTGCAGACGACAGGATGGTTGCGGTGTGGAGCTGAATAGTCCTCCCCCTCCCACCCCGCAAAATGAACTTTCCTTCCACTCAGACTGGGGCTTGTGGAAAGTCGCTGGATCTTGGAGATCTTATGCTCATGGGTGGGCTCGTCTATTGGTGGGCTCATCTATTGGTGGATTCATCTATTGGTAGGTTCATCTATTGGTCAGTGTGCTGTTAGGGGGTGGGGCCTGGTCGGAAGAGGCGGGACACTGGGGCGTGGCCGGGAAGGGCGTGCCTTCCTCCCCAGCCTCTCTGCTTCCTTCTACAGGCCAGGATGACAGCAGCTCTGCCCGCTCAGACCCTTCCACCCTGCTCTTCCTGCCTTGGAGTGGACTGACTGTGGACTGACTCCTCTGAAAACCAGGAGCCCAAAGTAAACCTCTCCTCCTCTAAGTTGTGGGTGTCAGGTATTTTGTCCAAGAATGAAGCTGTGGTCCATGGTGATTTATCAGGACCGGGTTAGGTGGCCTGGAAGGAAGGACTCTGAGCAGATGTTATCACTGAGGGGAGACCTGACAGCCCTGTGACGTAACTGCGGGGGTGGGGGGCGCGACCAGCAGGGACAGAAAGTGCAAAGGCCCTGAGTCATGGCTTCCACTGTCGAGGAATTTAAGGCTGAAGAAGGAATAGCCTGGGGTGTCCTGGGAAAGCAGAGGGAGGTGGGTCCTGCTGGGCCACTGTGGGAGGAATGTGGATTGTATTCCAACACAGCAGGTGGCCAGTGGTGGCCGGGCATCTGGTTTTTCTATCCTTAAAGCACCACCTGTTGGGAGCCTCACAGGGGTTATTAATTACTTCAGTTGCCTGGAGATCCCATTCTTATTGAGCAAAACTTTACAAAGTGCATGCCCTGTCTTCAGATTTTGTTCCTCTTCTTTTTTAATCATCTACTCTCTTGAATGTGTTCATTTTATTTATTTATTGTTGTACAGTAGTGAGGGTGGAACCTGGAACTTTGAGGCGGGGTCTCACTAAATTTCCCAGGCTGACCTCAAATTCGCAATCCTCCTACCTCAGCCTCCATAGCAGCTGGGATTACAGGCATGTGCCAGTGCTCCTGGCCAGATTATATTGAATGAAGATGCATGCTGAATGAAAGGATGAAGCAAGCGTTGCTGAGCACTTCCAAAGTGCCGGTCCCTGTTGTAGGTACTGGGGATTTCTCAGTGACACAAGAAGCCCTTCCTTGGGGTCCTAACATTCTAGGGCAGTGATGGCAAACCTTTTAGAGAGAAGTGCCCAAAGTGCAAGCCCAAACCCACTTATTTATCACAGGGTGCCAGCACTGCAATTAAACCTGAATCCTGAGGTTTTAGTTTAGAAAAAACAACTCGGACATGAGCATTTTTGTCTTAAAGGAAAAACAGTAACATGCGTGCCATAGGTTCTCGCCACCACTGTTCTAGGGATGAGAGAGGAGTTGGAGGCAAAGGTTAATGACGGTTTGTCAGATGGCCCTAGAGCAGGAGGAAGCCGAGGACATTCAGAGGCAAAGGAGTTTTGGTGTTAAGTAGCAAGATCAGGGAAGACCTCACCCTGAGAGCCACCTTAAAGATTTGAAAGAGCTCAGCAGATCGGTGCCCTGGGGACATGGCTGATTCCTTTGGGCCCTCAGAGGTGACACTTCTCCGCTTTCCACAGTTCACAGCACTGGTGCAGCAGAGACTTTAGGCCTGGACCTGCAGATGCCAAGTGGGTAACTGAAAAAGCAGGGTGAAGCTTGGTGTCTTTGCCTTTATTTTGTATCTGTCTCCCTGATGACCTAAGACTCCGGGTCAGAGCCCTGCTCTGCTCTGGAAGCAGGCCGCTCCAGGAGTGTGTGCAATACAAGGTTGGTTCACCAGCCCTCAATTTACCCTGCCTGTGACCTCTCTCTTCAAGACTCAGGATGCCAAGATAAAAGCAACTGAAGTAGTTTTCAGGATTGCAGGGACATCTGACTGCCAGCCTTTATAACATCCAGCTCCAGACCCCCAGGAGCGATGCCTAGAACTGGCAGTCCCTCAGATTCCAGGTAAAGCAGAGCCTTGCAAATCACTCACGATGAGACCACCCCCTCCCAGGGACAGCAATTATCTCATGGGAACTGGGTGACTCCGCAAGCTATAAAGACTTCTGAGCCTCATCTGGAACCAGTCCTGAGGTAAGCAGACCACAGCTCGACCGGGATTAACTGCACTGCTGGCTATGCTGACTCCCAAACCCTTGTATTTGTGGCCATTTTCTATAAAACTCCAAAGCTTCTGCAGCCCCAGAAGACAGACCTTCAAGCTCTTTATCTGTCCTTGCTGGCGTGACTGTGCTGATTCAAGCTCCTTGCCTGCCTTGACCGCTTTAGGTCTTTGTGACTGGCCTTAGGGGATGCGAGTGTCCAAGCCTGGTCTGTTGGGACCTCCCCACCCTGAGCTAGGGTTTTCACCTAAACCTCTGGGAGCCCTGGAACTCAAATGCTCAAGGGTTGTGCATGGTCATGGGCCCTGCTCCCTCCCCTGAGTCGCCTACAGTGCAGGAGGAGAAGGATGAGCTGATACTAGATTTGGAAACTCCAGGGGAATCCAGAAAGTACACAACTTGGGGTCTCCCTAGCAGTAGAGGCTGCCAGAGGGGCCGCCTCTGTCTCTTCTGAGATTATAGGGGAAGGTTCTAGCCCTTGTCCCCCACACTGTCCTCCCTTCTATGATGCTCATTCCAGGGCAGAGACCTGGCCTCTTTTTATCTTCTGAAATTGGCCATGGGTTTGCAGGAGGGGGATGCAGCTGGGCTGGTCACGTTGTGGAACATGCATTCAGAAGCATTAATGGTTCACCTGTGCAGGAACAATCCCCACCCCCGAGGCCTTGCCTTTCCGGCCCCTGTCAGGTGGGTAGTGTGGGATGCAGCTTGTTGCGGTCACAATTTACAAGGGAATGGATTTAGTACAGGATATATAATTTATGAAATTATTTTATAATATTCACCCAAAGAGTCAAATGCAAAAGTGTGCAGGAAATCTGTCCATACACTAAAGACCCAAATAATCCAGCTGAGGGCCTGGATCTCACTGCTATGTCCTCCACAAATCCAGCTGGAGGCCTAGAGCCCAAGACAATGTC